TAATACTGCAATAATTCTAATGAGAGCCATAACATTACAGCAGAGTTTATACTGCTTTGAGATATGTATCTTCCCCACTGCCTGGTTTATTCCGAGATGTCCCTTGGTGTGAATAAGTAATGTTATTCTCTCTCACATCAGCGTACATAAATATGTGTGAACCTAGAGGACTTGCTGTAAGTTAGAGACTTCTGAATTCATTTCAGAATGATGGAATGATGGAATAGTTTGTGCAATTGATCCATACAGAACTATCAATTCCGTCTGCCTGAGAAATTCTTCCACACAAGGACCTTCATGCCTTGGGGAGAGATGTGTATTGAGACTGTGTGTAGAAGGTTGGCCACAACAGTGTGTGTGTGTGTCTGTGTGTTTATACTGCAGATCAGACCTGGAATGAAAGTCACTAAACTTTCTGAGAATCATGACTGTCTTAACGCATGTCTAAATAGACACTGTCTACATATATTAAATATGCCATGCTGAGCAAGGGGTGAAGGACCGTTGTTGTTGTTGTTAAAATGAATCCCTTATTGAAAAGGTCATATCATTCCTCATTCAAATACAAAGTCTTTTGGAATGGCATAGCTATTATGGTCGATGGTGTGAAGGTTAATATGCATCCATCTCTGGTTCCCAGGGGCGGAGGAGAGACCTGCATGTGGCTGCAACTCAAATACGGGCCTCTGTCCCAGTGTGCCCATTGCTGCCTGAGCCTAATTAATGCCTCCTCCATCAGCACGGCTGGCACTCTCACTCTGGGTGAGAGAACCTCTGGCATGGCAAATTAGGAAGATTTCTGTCCTTCTGTTAGCCTGATGTTGGAGCAATGGAACAGCTTCCATTCTCACCCACCATGCAAACTGAGATAATTTTGTACGGCTGAGACCAAATCAATAGCATCGCCACATTCTCAATTTGTCTCTAGTCATCTCTAGTTCAGTGTTCAGAGATATAAATATATACTGGCCACAATTGATTAGCAATTTATTATCATACTCTGGCCACAAATTATTAGCAAATACTGTACATAATTCCTAAAATCGGGTTGAGATGCGCATCATCTGTTATTGTACTGTAACAGTACCAATTGCACAAGGATAATTTAGGCAGTATAAATAGCCTTGCACATGCAATAAGAATAAGAATTGATGAATTATTTGTGTCTGTGGGTGCATGTTCTTGCTGCCGTGGATGGATTTGTTTCTGATCAATGTATAGCATAGCTTTATGAGAAACAGGTCTGAAATATTTTCAGTCCATTATTGAGAATAACCTCCATGAGCTTGTGTTAGGTGCGTTAGGAGTGGTTATTGGGAAGGTGAGTCATCCACATCACATTGACTTTTGTGAGTGCTGGAAGATATGAGAAAGGCCCGTCAGGGCTGGAAGTGCACTGGCCTTGATTAGATGGGAGTTCTGCAAGCTGACGCTGCATTGGGTTCTTAATCTGATTACTTTTGCCTTGGGCAAAGTGGTCAGTCTTTCAGTCACCAAGGGGCAACAGCTAAAGTGTTTGTCTCTACAGAACGAAATCATAGATGATCCTTTTCAAATGTGCTAGATGACATCATAACCATGTTCTTCAGACTAGTTATACTTAAAGGAGCTAAGGGGCTGCCTGATGCTGAATCCCTTCGCTTAAATTACTGATAATTCCACTAAAAGACACAAACTCCAGATGGAAATCCAAGCTGTGTTGTATGATTTCTGAGACCAGAAATGGATTGAATATTAGTATTTACCACTTACTGTCATCTTTTCTGCTTATTGAATTTACTAGAAGAATGAAAATATATTGTGTCATTATTATCTTGTTTGTTTATTTAACGTGTAAACTCCCAGGATGCTTGGCGTGTCCAGATTTAAATTCCTTGTAACTGCTTTAATGGATAATAAAAATCTTGCTTGATGGATAACTGAATAATAAGCTTAGACTCTAAGGGTTTAACTCACTAGATACTCTATTAAATCCTATTTAACTTTTTTTGTTTAATTAGTATTGTGTGACTTGATAAAAAATATAAATATTCATATCTTGGGGAAAAAATTTAATGTTGGAATGCAAACCACAAAAGCAGACAAGTTTTCAAACATGTGAGATTTTGGTTCCAGTTCACCATTTGGTTTCCTTAAACAAGAAAGCCATTAATTATTCATTTGCTTATCATGAAACAAAGCACACAAATTTCTAAGAAACATCGCTGACATTTTTATTACAGCTCTTTTGTCTATCACGTTTTTAAGACGTTTTTTTCGTCAAATATCGCATGGAAAGACACTCACCTCAAAGATCGAATCTGAGAGTACTCAATAAAAAAATACTGAGATATGTCATTCAAAACAACAATCTGTTCCAACCCAACAAACCCACAGCGTTACCTTAGCAAATAAATACCGCGTTTTATCAGAGCAAGATATTTGGAATTAACTTAGTGTCACTATAAATGATTTTATAGTGTATGAATATTTTTCTGGAGCTTTTTAGCATGTGTAAAATATGAGTCTTGTACTTACTTATATAAATGAATCTCATGGCTCAGCAAAATCTCCCTCAGTCTCTCTCTCTCTCTCTCTCTCTCTCTCACTCTGTCCCTCTCTTTAAATATGACCGCTAGCATGCCCGGGTGATGAATTGGCAAGAGTGGATAAAGTACACAGCAATAACCTCCAGGCAACCCTCAGTACAACAAGGCATGGGACCACAAATTTATCATTCAATTGTCAGAGGATTTTATCAACTATGCCTTCCACTGCATCTTTTGATTTATTTCACAATTTATTACTTTGAGCCAGTGTGTTCACCAGCATCATGAATCGTCACTGGAGAAAAGAATACAGTAATAATAATAAAAAAAAAAAGACAGTAAATTTCAATGTAATCAGCAATTTGAATGTTTTCCACACAACAAATACGGCTTATCAAAGTCTGGTATATACTAAAAGCTATTTGTGAATGTCTTTTCAAATGAAATGTGCAAAATCTAACACACTACAAGTAAGTATGTTATTTAAGCAAATTGTAATGAAGTGGACAGACTCAGGTTCCCTGACTGCATTAAAATCAATGTAGCAGACAAGCCAAATGTGCACGCACTTATTTATTCATTTTTATGAAGCATTCAGTGTAGTGTTGCTTTGAGTGTGTGTTTCGCATACTTTCTTCACTAAAGTGTGTGGGTTACTTTAGAGAGATGGCATGGATGTGTGAGTGATTTCACTGTGTGAATAAAAAAAAAAATCACCTCTGGTTTTGATTTGTTTCCCTATAAGAGCTCTTGGTGTTCTTCCCCAGCATCGTATCTTCCACGTTGGCGCGCAATTAAACTGCTTCTGGAAAGGTGTGCTCTAATTGTTTATTTTGTGTGGTAAGACAATAACGTGGTTAACTGCGCTAACTTGTTGCACACACCTCTCATAGGAACAGTAAATTTTTTTTTAAATGACTGTAACAGCAAACACGTCTTTTAGGTGCGTGACTCATGTGATGAGGTTGTGGGCTGAGGATTATGGGAGTTGAGGATTATGGGAGCAACATGGGTGTGACACAAATGAGAACTGCGACGTTTACAAATCTAGATGGTATTAGTGATCACTAAATCAAAAATGATGTAAGTCATGTGTCATAGGTCTCTAACAAAGAGAGCATAAAAGACGCATTGTAAAAATGCTGAAGCACCCAGTCCACACCCTTTTATTTATTTATCGCAGCCTTGTTTATGCTTACCGATACTACCAGACGTGCGGAGATAAACGTAATATACTTCGCTTAATATACGTTTTTTTGTTTTGTTTTGTTTTGCTTTTGTCTTTTTGGGGGGTCGTCTATAATTTAGAAAAGACGTTCTAACGAAGAAATGTATTCTTTAATGAAGATCTCCATTGGTAGATCTCTTTCCACCAGGAGCTACACTACTCAAAAGTACACATATTCCTACTCCTGTAATACATGTAATACAGGGTTTAAGAAGAGGCTTGGAAATGATTAGTTAATTAATGACAACTGGTTTATTGTGTATTACCATTTCAGTGATAACCCATGTAAGCTCTGTATGTCTCTTACCAACTGGATGCTAGTGCACATCTCCCTGCCTGGTGTTGAGAAGTGGGTGTTCATGAGTGGGAGGCAGAAATCATAGGAGGGAAAAAATCCTGTAGGCTACAAGTACATCTGCAGCCCATTGAGTATGCTCTTCACATTCTCCACACTCTTAATAGAGACAAACCACAACTAAGTTCCCATATTTTCAATAATTACACATGAGGGGGTGATCCATGAGTACAAGAGCTTTTTAATATTTTTTTTTTTTTTGAAATTCTTTGCTGTTTACCATTTAAACACACTGGTAGTAATTGTTTCAGCTCCGATTTTAAGGGCTCTTTGCGCTTTTCAATTTATATTCAATTATTCTATTCCTTTGTTTCCTACAACTGTTATTTTACAGTCTATTTTACATTAAATACTTAAGTTATAACATATACACATTGTGAGCATCCTAAGATAAATTAAGAATAATAATATATAGTTTCCCTTTTTTTGAGTTGAGTTATGCTCACATAGTGAGGCTTTAATACTGAAAGTGTTCACATCGATATTCAGACCTCAAACATAACTACAGAGGTAAGTGCTATTCTGAAGTTACACAAGAGTTACGCACTCGGGGTGAAGATGTGTCCCTGGTACTTGCGATTCTGAACTTGGAACAATTTTCTTACATGATATTGGCTCAAGTGTGGAGCGGTATTAAGTCCAGCACCACTAGAGGACAGTTTTGTGTAATCGTAATATGTCATGCTGAAATGTACTGTAGGTTTAGGGCTGTAAATACACACACACAAAAATGGAATGCTACTTGAGGCCAATATTAAGCATATTTCGTCCCTTTTTAAGTCCACAGAGAACAATAAAGGAGACATCATCTTAATCAGAGACAATGCTTATCTCAAACAGTGAATTTATTAGATTACATTTATAATATTATAAGTGGATTTAGTGTGAGTCCCTGGAGGACTAGTGGTTAGGCCACAGCGCTCTCACTGCTGCAGCCCGGGTTCGATTCCTGGCCAGGGGACCAACCCCAGGAACTGGGGTTGCGTGCAGCAGTGTGCTCTCAGTGCAGGTCCCAAGCCCGGATAAAACTGGAGAGGGTTGCGTCAGGAAGGGCGTCCTGTGTAAAAACTGTGTCAAAACAAATATGAGGACCAATGATCTGCGGTGGCGACCCCTAACAGGAACAGCCGAAAGAGGAAAAATAACAACATGAATGGACTTAATGAGAGTTGTGAATTTAGCAGATTAGTGCTCAGTCAGCTTATCCTTTAAACCATGGGCATATTTTCTTCAAATTAGCCAAAAAAATGGTATTGTTTTATTAATTTAATAACTCCAAATAGAAAATTAAAAGAGTGATAAAATAGCCTATATCCCAAATACATTATGATTAGTATCTTGTTGTGTGCAAAATTTACTGTCTGTGATGATATAAAAATAAAACGCAAAATAATATGATATGCAGGATCAAGTACTATCTTATATGTTTCTAAATAATGAAGGAGGAAGGCATATCATTAAATTAAACTTAATTTGCAGTAATATCATAATTATAATTAGGACTATTCATGCAGAAAAATACTGCCAGTATACTAGACTCCCTTTAGATTTTCATTTCAATCCTTGCCATTTCTTCATTTATATATATCATTATATTAGTCCTTTTATTTCTTTTTTTTTTTTTTTTTTCAAATTGCCTCTTGCTTAACACAAAAAAAGGATAATATGCTGTGGAATGTACAACAAAGAAAAACAGCAAAACAATCTGTACAGCAAAGTAATCTGCTTCTTCAGTCCATATTTTCTATCCCTTAATATTTTTTTTTCAGGTTTTAAGGCAAGTACTTGTGTTTACAGTTGTCAAGAACAAAACAAAATAGCAGAGTTGTGTGCACGGTTCAAAGTCTAAATTAATAACAACAAACAATGGGCAAAAAAATAAAATAAAATAAAATCCAGTGAGCAAAATCAAAATTCAAATTCAGGCACAGAGTTAAAACCAGTAAGTCAAAGTCAAAACACAGCGATCAAAACAGACTAGGGCAAAAACCGAATGATCTCAAAAACGTGAAAACAGAGCCTTCCTACATGGAAGTAACCAGTGGTTATAAAAAACAAGAAATATAGCAAAGACTTAGAAATGAGTAATACAAACTAAAAGGTATGCTGTGTTTGGAGAGGCTGATTAACCAGGATGAGCTACAGGTGTATACACAGGTTTTTATGCCACTGCATATCTAAATCTGACAACAGGGTTCATCATGTTTCATTTTTCTTTTAATTTCGCTTTGTTTCTTTCCCTCTAACAATTTATTTACAATATTCTGACCTCACAGAATATTTATTAAAGAAAAAAATCTGACATTTAAAAGTCTTTGTCAGTAGACATAAGCTGGCACACCCAATGTGGTATCATGCTTTCAGATTTAACAGAATTTGCACGTGCTAGCTGATATCATTTATATTTATGGCATTTAGGAGACGCCCTTATCCAGAGCGACTTACATTTATCTCATTTTTTTTTTTTATACAAGTGAGCAGTTGAGGGTTAAGGGCCTTGCTCAAGGGCCCAGCAGTGGCAGCTGGGTGGTGCTGCGGATTGAACTCATGACCTTCCGATCAGTAGGCTAACATCTTAACCACTGGGCTACCACTTCCCTTCAGATATCATAAACCATAAATGGTTCAGATGAAAGGAGGGAATTTTTTCTCATGACCTTATTAGTATGAAATACAAAAAAAACAAAGAGAGGAAAAAAAATTGTGTGACACAGTTGGATAAACCATGAAAGGAATCATTTAAATAGTTGTAATTGGGTTACCCTGAGAGTCTTTATACAGTTACCCTGGCTGCGTGTGGGTGGCAGGATGTCTGACAGTCCTGTGCTGTTCACTCTCACATTAAGTCTGGAGACACAGCCATTGAGCACAGCAGGAAAGAGTCACCCTGCGTCCCCTGTATGGAACTCTTCTCTTGGGGCTGACATATTCATGCTGCTCCTCCTCCAAAACAGAGTTCCTGTCCTCCCTCCTTCTGGATCTGCCATGGCTCCACACCGATGCCAGCACCCGTGTGAGAGGGAGGAAGGAGGGTGTTGATGGATGACAGGCCTGTGTTCTCCATGCTCTAGAAGCACAGCAGCATGCACGGACCAGAGCAGCTGCATCGACTGAGACAAAGAGTATTGCCACATAGGCATGCCAGCTGAGCTTTTCAGCAATTCCTGAAATGTGAAATAAATACGTGACTCAAATATGTGTCAGTGTTGAATAGTGTTTTTATTTTTCTACAATACTGATGCAGGGCATTGATGATGTTCATGAGGATGTCACATCTTTTTCTACTTTTTTTTTTTTTTTTTTTTACAGCATAATATGATCATTTTGGAAGCCATTTTATCATACAGCAGGCAGAATGATGTGCAGCAGTGTAGCATCAAGCTGTGACCAATGGTGCATTATAGTGCCATGAGGTTTGTGGAGTTCCCCAATAGCTCAAGCTCAGTTGTGCCAGTTCATCGCAAACCTGGCAATTTATTCCATTTTAGAATATAAATGTGATTTTGTAAGACAGTATGCAAGTGTCAGAATGATTGACTTAAATGTGTCAAAATTCTTTTGATGTTGCAGGAAGTGTGTGAGTAAAGGAAGTTCTTCAACGCACCGATGAAGTGGGAGGAAGTATCGCATAATTGGATTTTGATTCTTCCTGTTGTCATGGCACCCAGATTCTGTCTTTTCATGTAAGGCCTTCTTTTTTGTCTGTAGAGGGGAGAAATCGCATGAAAAGGAGGGTTGATGTTCTTATTGGAGCATTCAAAAATAAATAGGATAGTCAGGAATGTTGAAGGAAATTATGGTTTCTGGACTCAAAATAACGGGTTCAGAACTGGCAGATACAATTTGATCACATTTTAAAATATCATGTCAGGAAAACCTGTCAACTCTGAACTTCTGATGCTGTTTAAATTAGCAGAGGTATACTGACCTCGCCATGTTTTTTTGTTCATGTCAATGCAGATCGCAATGAGTCATTGCTGACTTCCTAGAAATCAGAAACTGCTCAACTTAAACTGATAATTGAATTAAAATGATATAAGTTCAATGCCATAGTGTCTTTATGTCAACTTGTCATGGAATTACTACCCGATTCTGTCCTGGGGTAGCTTATTAATAGCATAGCTAACAAGCAGTTCCGACAGGTCGAGACTAAAGGGAGCAACCGTGTCGTGATTGTGTTCCGCTAGATTCAGTGCAATATGACATGATTCTAACTCATTCTGCCACAAAAAAGACCTTAATAAGCATTATACTACTGCGTGTTAAATGATGATCTTTGACATGTGCTCTGGTGTGTAAAATGTCTTTGCTGGTACTCGGTTTTGTTTTACCAGTTCACCTCGTCAGAGAGTGCAGCTGTCATTGCTTATTCAGTTATACTCCAGGGACGAGCAAAAGCACGTATCAGAGAACGGGGGATTAATTCTCATTCACACAAACTAATCCTAAAAATCCCTGGCTGAAGCAAAGGCTATTAGCTAATCATTTTCATTATTAATACATGCTGAAGTCATCTAATGTAGCAGTTTGTCAATAAGGCTGGCAGTATTGAGGAATATTAAGAAGGATACACACAGCTGGATTAGCAGTCAATCCTCTCGGCAAAAAACGAATTGAGTTATTGGCTGTGTATGTGTGTGAACTCTGATGTTGTCACAGGCAGGACGAAATGCACTGCTGTCCACTCCCAGTTTATGAGTTATGAGCTTGCCTATGCTGGCAAGAAGACACTAAAACACTGCACAGCCTGTGTGCTTATATACTGGGGAGTCACGGAGGGTGTAGGGTCAAGCCAAAGATGTGGGAAGTGGTGGGTCAGAGGACAAATGTCACATTCTGAATGCTATAACAGTTATTGTAATCTTTACACTACGGTGCTTTTATAGATTTGTAATTACAGTTATATAAGCTCTGATTATTCAGTGGACACACCAACCAGTGTTCAAATTGTGTGGTCTCTCAGGGGAGGGCAAGATCTCTTAGTTCCAGGCTCCATTCTAAGTTATGAGTTAATCTTCATCATCCACTTTAACTTCATTATCCTGGGTCACAGAGGATCTGGAGCTTATCCTGGGAACACTGGGCACGAGGCAGGAATACGCCCTGGATGGGACACCAGTGCATCACAGGGCACCATGCACACATGTTTACACCTAGGAGCATTTTTTTAGCATAGCTAGTCAACCTACTGGCATTTTTAGGAGGTGGCGGAAGATCCGCAAGGAAACCCATGCAGACACAGGGAGAACATATGAAACTCCAAACAGACAGTAATTCAAACTCAGGATACCTGGACACACTGGATACCCTGGAGCTGTGAGGTGGCAACACTACCTGCTACACCACTGTGCCCTGCAGAGTTCCCATATTCATTTCCAATCACACATCCTTGTGGTTTATTGTATCAGAATATACATTATGTGTCCAGGTACATTATGTGTACACACTGGAAATCGTATCTTTTTATGACATATATTTTACACTTGTTTGAAATTTGACATATTCAAGAGTTTCTGTATCTGTATATTAAATGTGTGACAAGAACAGTAATATGTCACAAGCAGCTTTGGGCTGGAGGTCCTTATTCACATCATTTGTTTTTGTTGTTGTGTTTGTTTTTGTGGGGTTTTTTTATTAATCAAATGGCACCACGCAGGCCAGCTTTTGCATGCAAGCCTGCTCTGACACCGGATTCGAATTAGAATTCAAGTTTACCAATTCGGCACATGTGTCATGTAATTGTAATGAACAACTGTCTCTCGTGATGAAAAAAAATGTTTGTCTCTGGCAAACAAACAAACAAAAAAAATCTGAAATTATAAAATGTTATTATTTGTGGAAAAAACTAAAAATACAGCCTATATTGCTTATGTGACCCAACAGACCTATGTTACATAACACATAGCTCAGTGCTTCAATATGTG